AGCACCATGCAAACCATGCTAATCACCCTTCATCAGTTTCAATTATAACTTTTAATTCCACAATTGATACTAGTAAAATGATAAATTTGTACAAACTACCTGTTTATGCCACGTAACTATGCGCCCTGCCTCTTCACAAGTGACCCTCCTGCACGCTTCTTCCTGCGCGCAAAGGAACCCCCTTGAGCCCTGGATGGGGCTCGTTAGCACTCCAACGGCCAAGTCAGTATCATTTTTCTAGAGAGAGAAGTGAATAGTAATTTTAGAGAGAAGTTCCAACATGAGTAAATGAGGTTCACCAACTCTCCTATTTATACTCGGGGCTTGGCCGACCAACATCCTTCCCCTCCGCCTTTCGCCAAGACCGCATTTAATGCGCCGTACGGTCAGGTCTGAGTTCACGGTCCAAACAACAACGCGGGTTTGGTAAAATTGATGACTCGGTTGGAGGGTCGAGCAATTCAATATCACCGTGAAGTTGCAAACTTGACGCGAAATCGAACAGTGTCGTAGAAGAGAGAACGACATTGTTTAATGAAAAGCCACATTGAGTCTTGGTACGTGGTTGTGAATTCGAAAAGGCCAACAGTGTCGTGGAAGGAGAATAAAAAATCATAGTGATGAATATCTGGACGACGTTGTGAGGCTACGAGATCAACGATGCTGCGAGTTTTGACGGTGTTGTGTAGTCAACGACGCCGAGAGATCAACAATCTAGCGGTGAGTACACGGTGGCGAAGGGTGATACAACAATGTTATTTAAATCGATGGCGGTGCCGTGATTCAAACTGTGGTACAAAGTTGATGTGTGTGCATGTGACTTTTACACAAAGAAGATTGGAGAACACATGTGAAGCAGTTGAGGACTAGAACTTTGTGAAGAAGCATGGAAAACATGGTAGACAAATGTGATGCGGTTTCACAACGTGAAGACTACGAAAGTGATTTTGATAAAAGCATCGGAGCAAGGAGAGAGAAGGGGACAAGCAAATCAACACAGAATAACTCTGTCAAAATTTACCTTTTTTCTCTGTAACTCCTTCGCGGAGCTCTCCTTCCAGGAAGGATCTCCATAGTCGTAGTCGTAGCGTAGTCGCGGAGCTCTCCACAGGAATCTCCATAGGAGTAGTTATAACGTAGATTCCCCCAAAAACTCAAGCACCCACGTCTTGATTTTCAGAAATCAGAGGTGCATCGATCAAATCAACACCGCCCGGTGGATATTTGATGATCATCTTCATTTTCAGAAGTCAGATTTGCACCGATCAAATCAACACCTCCTCGTGGATATTTGGCAGTGGTCTTGATTTCAGCAATCAGTGATGCATCCGATCAAACGGCACCGCAAAAGTTTTCACAGCAAAACAATCAAATCGACATCGCCCGAAGCAATTTGGCACCGGTGGTGGATATTTGGTTTCGCAAGGAAACAAGCAGTATGTAAAGTTTAATTACCATTTCAACCCAAAATACGTTATTGCTGATTTTCCCAACACATTTTTCGGTACGGTTTTGCAATCCTTAATCTACAAATCCTTGGGTTAAGAAAACCCTAACATAGACTCGCTTGTTTACTCGCCCAGTAATACTGAATAATAATAAACCGTAAAACACATAATATGCAGGTCCACTTATAAGGTCTATGAGAAGGGTTTGGAACTTAGACTTGTAAACAGTTGTGTCTGTTCCAAACCAGACCATATATACGGTTCATACTCCAAACCGAGAGATTGAAGCATAGACGAAGGATGCTCCGATCCAGGCAACCCACATTGAGCAAAAAACCAAACAGTTTACTTAGCACTAAATATTACGACACACACAACATCACAACCCAAAATCCAAGTAAATAACACAAAGTCAAAGCAACGTGATGAATAATTAAGAAATTAGCTCTTAACTAAGGTTGTTGACCAGCAACTTTGGAAGGCGACGACTAATGGACCCAATTGCAAACTTGAAGCAATTATTATTAGCAAATTAAATTTGTTTATAAAAAATTACTAGATTTAGGTCCGCCTGTTGGACTGATAAATTTTGTTAATAGTATAAATAAACATAGTAATTGTCCGAAGAAACGCATATCTTGTTTCATATCCTTAAAATTTCAAAACATTAAGTTACTGGAAATATGATACTGGTATAATTTTAAACAAACTAATCAGATTTATTAACTAAAGTCATTACCTAAAGTAAAAAAAAGTTATGCAAGAAAATCAAATCCTATGAAATCAATGAAACCACACAATTTGCTCATCATAGTAAGAACTATTCCAAATTTTATTTTGGATTTCTTGTGATTGCTCCGCCTCCTCCCTCTAAAGCATCGTCATCTCCACCCATTATAATGCCTTCGACTTCCTTAAGGAAATATTTATCTTCACAACATGTTGTTCCTACTTTCTTTCCGTTAGAAGCCCATCTTTAATAGTAAATTATTTGGAAACACAAAAAATTAAGTGCAGTAGAACTTACCTCTTATGAACATTTAATGAGATTGTTTCTTTCCCCTAACGCAAACAACCCAGAGACCAACAACCAAATATGATAATTTATAGATTGAAAACTTAATGAATAATCTATAGACGTTAACTATTCTCCAATACATACGTTTCTTTTTTCTTATATATCTGTAGATTTAATTGTCCAATTTGTAAAAATGACTTAGGAAGATTTGAATTTTAGTCAAAGTCAAGTAAGGCACGTGAGACCCACTTTTTTAACAATGTAACGAAAAATTATGATGAGATACTATTAGCTAGAAATTGTCGCATAGATCGGGTATCGTTATAGAAGAAATGATTGTACATAAATTCTATTGTATATGATGTCATATACTATAGACTATAATAATTTTTTATTCCAAACATATCAAAATGGATATAGTTTTGTATAGTATAATTATTTTGATTTGTAGTTAAAGGATTACAATTATAATTATAACATATGAAATATGCTTAATTGAAAACGAATAAGGGAGTGGTTATGCATGTTGATTATGCACCTTTTTTATTCCAGCGGCTAATAATAATTTCAATAAATATATATAGAGATGAATTATATGGTTGGTGCTTTCATTTGAAAAATAAAAAATTTATGGTACAAATTGAACTTATATCTTTACGTTATAGTCAAATTCAGTTTATTTTTGTACTTTTTCTTGGAATTCATTTACCGTGCAAACTAAACGTGTACCTTTAACATTATTGTAATGTTTGACCTATATACTTTTGTACATCATACTTTATGACACATATTGAATTTATACTTTAATGAATTGGGCAGGGATAATCATTCCGGTTGCAAACACCAACAATTTGAAGTATAATAGATGATATCATATATATATATATATATAGTGACTTCTATCGTAACTTGGGTAAAATCAAGGGTACGACATACCTCGAGTAAGGAAATGCTATCTAGACATCGAATTAACAAGTTTTTTTGGCATGATACTATACCCTAACCCTTGATGGTTGAACCCTAGGTCTTAGTTTTCTGTATCATAGAGCCTAACCCCTATGATTGTGCATGTAATTTGTTGCATATATTTCAACGAATCATGACCGTCGATTTTTGTTCCTCAATAAATTGATCTTCATGAATGAGATTTATATTAAGTGTTTGAGTATAGTATCAGATGTCAAACTCCGGTCAATTCAAGGTCTAGATATCATTTCTTACTCAAGGTACGACATACCCCGGATTTTACCCGGGGTAGGATAGAATGGTCTATATATATGACAAAGGTTATTGTACGTCTGTCGTATGCTATACATTTTCAATTATAACTTTAAATTTGAGAGTTGTAGACAACATGGTTTAATCTAACTTTATTTGTTTGTATAGCGAGGGAGCTAGATTTTTGGAATGTATACTTAGAAATTACTCAAGGATATTGACAATATGAAAGAACTGTCACCTCCCCATCCCATCCAAACTAAGAGCATGAAGTGAAATTTTCAGATCAAACTCACTGATTACAACATCGCAAACCACATAAGTGGGTACATTGTTTTGAAGATAATGAAGGACCAAGAAGAGCAATCTCAAACAAATTCATGACATGTACTTGGTAAATTTTAAAGTTCTTGAAAACTAAGTTTCAAAATTTTGAAAATGTTGCCATTAAATTTTTGCATTCAGTGAAGTGCAGGAGAATAAGGAAGTGTATGCTAATAGCAGAGGCAGTGAATTCAATAATGAAGATAATGACGTTATTGAGATAAATGAAGAAATTATTGATGGTGGATATAGAAATTTCAAAGATTGGAGGAAAGATTGAACGTTGATAATACTTGTGATTTAGATTAGGTGATATTCTACTATCGTAGAAAATATATTGTTTTTATGGCGGAGCCATAAAAAGGAAATCCAAAAAAGAATTTGCAATAATTTCTAACATCAAAGAGCAAAACTGAAGCGCATTTTGAATATCAAGTTCTTTAAAATCGGTTCTCTGCTTGAGTTGTGGTGTTTCCTTTTGATAAGGACTTTTGTCCATTAATGATTAAATGAATTCCTGTGTTTGTTATGTCATATGTATAAGTAATTTAATTAATTAAGGAGGATAATTATATCATTCTATTAAAAATAGTAAATACTTGTGAAATTCATTTGGAAATTCCATCTCAATTCCTCGGAATCACTATAACACAAAAATATTTCATTGCAAAATGATTTTTTCAAACTTATTGTATTCATTTATACCCAATAGTTTATTAAGAAACTAATTGGTTGCAACATAAAATGTATCGATCGATCTCATCCAAATAATGACACCTCCATTGGAACGCAGGTAGGATCCAACCAGCGTTGCATCACCACCCTAAAGAATCACTTCCCATCTCTAGATAATACTCATCAATGCACTCCAGGGAGCAGGAACAGCAAACAATGAAATTTTTATCATTTTCTAATATTTTTATAACAACTTATACAAATACCTAGTGTTAAAACTCATGCAAGCCAAACAGTCACTACTAAGTACTAACAATAAGCCCTATGCCAAGGGTTATGTAGCAAGGGTTGACGAAACCCTTGCTATTTTTTTTCGCAATTCATTGTAACGGCAGTTTGTTGCAGGGGTCGAAAAACTCCTGCTAGTGGATTGAACTAAATCTAATCCCATCTTCCAATTTGCTTCCGAAAAATAGTCTTGTTTGCTGATTCCGATTTTCCTTCTTCCCCAAACGAAAACCCATAGTTGATAATACGAAATTCAAGGCAAAGAAGCTCTGATTTTTCTTCTTTTCTTTACAGTCCCTGTTCGCTGATTCCACCGAAACGTGAAAGAGAGGATGGAGAGAGAGCTCGCTGATTCAGTCGGAGCACGAGAGACAGGAAGGAGAAAGAGCTCTTTGATTCTGCCTCAGCGAGAGATACACGGATCTCTCTCTGTCTCGCTCCAAACGACGCAATTTCCAGGCCTCTCCCTCGCTCCTAACGCGCGATTCTCCAATCACTCCCTCGACCTAAGCGGTGCGATTCTCTGTTCTCTCCCTTGCCCCAAGGGGTGCGCTTCTCTGATCTCTCCCTCACTCCGACGCGATTTCACGATCTTTCTCCCGCTCCGGCTTGTAAGGTTACCTCTCTCGCACTTTTCGTGACTATTGAGTGATTTTAGGTTTCGACGCCCTACATATTATAGAATTGATATATATCATTATATGCTAAAATTTACACCAATGAGAAGCTTAAGGAGATTGTGTTGGGGGTCTCGTCTGGTTACACTTGACCTGATGATATCGGTGGTTTGGTTGCCTGCTATGAATACAACTATACATCGACTGTTTGGAAAAGAATAGTAACACCATACACTTTGACACCATTGTTTATTGAAAAACTTAGCCATTAACTTCCCTGGCTAATGAGATTGATTAATTGAGTTGGTGCTGATGATCATTCTACTATTTTCATGTTTCAGGGGTATTTCTTTAGCCTTGAGGTAATAATACTTCTGGGACTCTTGAGGATTCATGTTTTCTTATTAGGAAGATGGATCCATTTTAGTTACTAGTGGAATGATGATTAAGTGCTTGGAATCTTGATAATCACTTAACCTACAGACTATATGAATAATTTTGTAAGGCAGTCTACTTAATGACGGATTCCTTCAGCGAGTTGATTGAATTGTGTGGCTCTCTGAGATATTTTACAAAGGAGGAATGTGTGAGTAAAGGGGAAATGGAGCTGGAGCTGGACGATGTCCTCTTGGTTCGGGAAGGGTTTGATCAGAAGAAAAAGTATGTCAAAGGGAAAGCAGCTTCCCACTTGTTAAAGCAGCTTGAGCTTGAGGTTTGATTTACATACTCTGCTTGGCTATCATTTTATTTACATTTCACCTCGAATTCTAAACAAATGAGGGCTTTGGTAGAGATATAATATGTGATTGCATGCAATATGGAGTCGGATCAACAATAATTTTAACTGCTATGGTGGAGCAGCATTATCATTGCACAAATGAGGACTTGCCCTTGTGGGAAGTGAGTGCATGAAGGAATGTCATGTGATGTTGCAGTGCGCTATGCGGAGATACTTGTGGCAAAATTTTGAGATGTGGTTCCATGGGTGTCATGAAAGGTTCCACCGAGGGCAGTGTGCTGAGACCTGCAGAATGGTTGTCTTCAAGTCATGTTGTTGTGGAAGCTTGAAGAAGGAGGTAAAATCTAGTTCTAGAGTATATGCTGTAAATATTTTGATCTTCTTCATTTTGCTAAAATGTGTCAGACCTTTGAATTTCAGGTTTGTGGGAAGAGATTAAGGTCCAAGAATCACTAATGCCCTTCCGCTTGTCATAGGTATGATTTGTTGTATGTAGCTCCATTAGATTATAGAACAAGACTTGGAGTTGCACTGGGGTATTTTGTCCGCCATAAGCTTGCTTTCAAGCTATGCACTGAATTTATATTTGCAACAACATTCACATCTATGTGATGGGCTACTTATGCGATTTAACATTTCTAGGGACCAAGAGCCAAATTGCTTTCATATTGCAGCTTTGCTGTCGTTTGCTTATCATGATTTTCTTATTCTGTAGAGGTCCCTATGCCCCTTGTCCTGTGATGGTTCCAATATCATGTGCTTGTGGTCAGACACGATTTGAGGTGAGCTTTTTTAATCGTCCTGACCCTGTTTGATACTAGGAGGAAGTTGTTTATTCAGTTACTGGTTGAACTGATTTCTAAAGCTATTGTCTGGACATGATGTTTTAAATTAGTATTTGCCTTCTCTTTATTATGCTAAAGGATGCAACAATAGCTTCTCTATTCTCCGATTTTTGCTAGAGTTCCTTGCATTGATTTTCCACAAATGCAAATTTATTGGTGGTCGTGGATGTGTTTCTACTTGCCAGGTTCCTTGTGGAACGGAGAAGGACCAAAAGTCTCCCAAATGTCCAAATTTGTGTGAAATTCCTCCTCTGTGCAGGCATGGGCCCAAAATCAAGGTATTATTAGTAAATGATTTATCTCAGATTTGGACTTTGTGCAGCTTTTTCATTGTTTTTAACACTGTTGAAACCTTATGTTATAACCATTCCAGTGATTAGCCGTTGGAGTTGGTTTTTGAAAAACCTGCTATAATCCGGACATTATTTGAAAAATCTGTTATACTCTGCTTGGCCATTATTTGGAAAACCTGCTATGGTGGAGCAGCATTAGCATTTTCATGGTTTGCAGTTGGTTTTTGTTTTGCACCGACTCCTGAGCATTTAACCATTTAGATGATATAAACAAATGCTCTTCTCAACAGATTTTTGCTGGCCAGCCTTGCTTTGGACGTCCATGGTCCTGTGTGAGGATCAGATATCATGCAGCCTCCTTGACCATATCATCACCGTGGCAAATGGAGAAGTAAGCCAATCAATTCTACCTCTAACTCTTTTCTGCAACTTGCTCTCTTCTTGATGCTATAGTGGTTATCAGAATGGGGCAAAAGGGTTCATATCGGTTTTGGATGCGTCTTTGCTTGACCATTCAGTTTAACTTACATAAATGTATATGTCAAGGGGATGGCAGCGCAATAATTCATAATTATTAAGGCTTCACTACCATATGCTCTTGCTGGTATGTTCCCTAGCTTGTCTAAGGTTGGTTTCATGTATCTTAATGATTGAGTATGAACCATCTTTTGCAGGACATGTGCCTATAATCAGGAATACAAGAGAAGTGTCTCCTGAGTATTCCCAAGATACCAGATATCTTTGCATCCATTACCCATACAGAGGAAGATATTACTACATCAGTGTCATCTTTCTATGAGGCAACAGGGACTCCATCAGCTGTGACCCCAACAAGAAACCGGGCTTCTTACCCCCAAAACCCAGAGGAGATAAGGACAAGGACCAACTTTGCCTCACAAGCATCGGTATCATTTGCTCTAGATGGATATAAGACAAGATATTCTGGCATTTCTTGATGGTAGGATGATGCGGGGAGACTGAACACTAAAGAATGAATTGGAAAGTGGGGATGGTGCAAGGCTTAGAAGTTGGTCCCCAGCACTGAGTATGCTTCTGAGCTTCACACCTGGGGTACAGGTCAGCATCCGCAAGTAGATCATTAGGTTCTTATGAGTACTTACAATATTATGAGTATTAGACCGTGTTTCTTTGGATTACATTTGAATATTTTTAGTTATTGCTATTTGACAATGTAAATAATATTATCTCGGATCATGAACCATGGAATGAATCATGAAATATTGATGGGTAGTGTATGGTATGATTTGGCTACCAAGAATGATATTTATAGAAAAATTAGCAACAAAAAAGCTTGGTTATGGATTTGTCTATAGCGACCAGAGTATTTGCAACCAAGTTCTAGTCACTAATCTTGGTGCTTCTCTTTAGTGACGGTTTTGAGGTGCTTCAAAATGTTTATCGGTCTCTCTTTAGTGACAGCTTCGAGTTAGTCACAAATAGTATTGGCGACGAATAAAGCATGGGTTTTAACCCTTGCTAGTTATCACAACAAATTTAGTAAGGGGTTTTAACCCCTGATACAAACATCTCACTATTGGATTTTACACTTAAATGTAGCAAGGGTTTCAACCCCTGCTACAACACTTGGATGGGACTTTCACCGTGGGTTACTAAAAACCCCTGATACACGTAGCAGGGGCAGCATAGGTGAGGGTTTATGCAGGGGTTGGTACCCTTGCTAGAACTTGTAGCAGGGGTTATAACCCTTGCTATAGGTAAAATAAACCCTTGCCATAGTACTTTTTTTTTTTAGTGAATGTGAACTATTTTTACATGACTTCTTACAACCACATTAATAAATTACATGATATTATAGAACTCATGTAATTTAAAATACATGATTGGCAAACGGCCATTTGTTAAACGATGAGCTTCGTTCAATCATGTGCAACCCTTAATTAATTATTAGTTTTACTAAGTCATCATTAGTAAAGGATAAAACTGGGTGGAATGAACAATCAGTATTTCCTTTTTTTTTTTATTATTTCTGACACAATCATTATTTCCTTCTATAGTGATACTTAATTACTTATAAGCTAGACTTTTGGCCTTAACAGAAGAGATTTATTCTAATTTTCCGGACCTTATTGTTACGATACATATTATTTAATTTACATTTTTATTGACCAATATGGTCAATGAATAAACAAATATGGAATATAACTAATGATGTCATAGATTTAGGGCTTCCACACAAATGAGAAATAAGTGGGCAACTTTATCTCGAGTTGTTTAGCTGGCTCATCAGTTGCCATTTTCTTTTATTTATTTATTTATTCATAAATGACTAGCTAATAATTGTTGTTAGGTGTGAGGTGAACATGGAAGTGGGAAAGATGGAAGAAGCAACAGCATTATTAGTAAATAAAACACAGGAAACACAAAATACAAATGGCAAGAAACACCATGTATGGCCTGTGCCATTAGTCATTTGTCAATGGCTTATCTATATGTTCTGTTACGGATTGATTCCAGTATTCCCAAAATTTTCAAATCTCCTTCCTGAAAATCTGTTTTTAGGTGCTCTTCTTTATATTCCTAATGTAGTAATCTTGACTTTCATTCCTTCCCTCCTAATCAATTTTGCCCTTGTATGGGGTGAAAAAGCTCCGGGTTGCGTCTGGGGGCGTTACATTAGGTCTGTTGATCTCATCCTTGTCATCCTTGTCTCTCTCATCTCTGGGTATTGTTGTTCTGATAATCATATTGATCTAAATGTATTGATTGTGTTTGTATTGATAGCATTGAACATTCAAATCCATATGTTTATTAAATATCGATGGAAGGTTTTGGATTATGGTGTACATGATCTACTGGTGACAATAATGATGCAATTATTTATTTTCTGCAATGTGGGAATGCTCCTTCATGGAAAGTCAACCCTACAAGATTGTGGATTGGGATTTACTATTGCATCACTGCTCATCACAATGCTGCCTTGCGGAGTTGCTATTTTTTACACATTCTCTTCAGATCCAGTTTTAGATAAACCTGAGGATTTTCCAAAGCCTTTTCCTAAATAGACTGCATTCTCCTGTTGAGAGCCATTTTATTAGTATTTAATTACAGATGATCATGAGTATAATACATTTTCTATTGGGCACACTTAGCTTAGTTGGCTAGCTTTGATCACAAGTTCATGTGGGAAGCATATGCCCCATTGGCCATTGCTTTTGGGAAGATCGATAATTTTTTTTTTGGTATTTCATTATAGAAGTTGTATTGACAGCTCAAATAAATTATTTTCTTTTGCTTTTTTTTCTTCTGCTGGACTTTTATTTTCTTTGCTAATGTTGTAGGAAGGGATGTTTTTCATCAACATACCCTAGTGACAATGGTTGCATTCATTTAAAATTTAAGCTTATATATTGTTACATTATAAAGAATTTTGACCTCAACCTTATAGAAAAAAAAGTTAATTATGTATGAATTCTTAATATAATTAATAAATTTTCTCCACATTTCATCATTAATGACTCGAATGTTGTTGCTGATGTGGCTACCACGTCACCCAATAATGTTCTATCAATTCAAAATAAAATTCAAGAAAAATAAATGTCTATAATTCACACTCGCTGCCATTGCATGAGGCTCATATTGAAAGCTAGACTAGTTGGGCTGTGTAGAAACATTTAGTCCAAGAAAAATGTCATGGGTGGTTTGAACAGACATGTATTAGGAGGAAAGGGGTAGAATGGGTATTTCAATATTTATACATGTGTTATTTAAGACTGGATGAGAGGTGTTGACCCATTCTTTACATGCAATTATAATGACATATATTAAAAATCTTGATGTTAGATGAAAACAACAAAGAAAACAATGCTTCTGAAATAAAAAGAAGAAAATGACATGAGTGATGGTCTCTAATTATTTGCGAGATGAAACTTTGCACTGAGATGTAGCATATTAGTATGTAGACGAGTCAAAGTTTTTTTTTTTTTTTTTCGAAAAGATAGTTTGTATTAAACAAGAACACAAAGTTACAAGGCCTGTGATCTAAGCCACCCACAAAAATCAAACCCATTACAACCCGCAGGAAACAAAGACAGGGCCTTCTTAGCCACCATATGGGCTACCCTATTGTTCTGTCTACCCACAAATCGCACCCTAAATCCTGGGGACATCAAAAGAAGCCGGCGAATTTCCTCAAACAGAGCACCACCAGCAGCAGCACAAACATCCCCAGCATTAACCTTGTCGATCACAATCTTGGCATCCCCCTCAAACGTAACAGCCTCCAAGCCACGATGTTGACACCACCGCATCGCATCCCGCAACGTTGACAATTCCACAAGCATCGGATCTTGCAGACCGGTGAACATCAGCCCGTGTGCCGCAAACACCGCTCTCCCTGCCTCTCGTAAGACCACCCCACCTGCCAAAGTAGAATGCATATATGAGTAAATATTAACAATAATTTGGTCAAACGATTGATGTGTTAGTTAGGTAGATTTGGATATTTCTATTGTTAAAATAGAGGACATCGCAAGCAACATTAAACCAATCAAAATATCGGAAGCCCAATCCGTCCTCAAGCTTACTTTGGCATGCTTCTGTCCATGAGAGCCATCTAATCTCGTTCTCTTTGACTTGCCCAGCACACCAAAATCTTGAAAGCAGGCTATTGCATCGCCGACAAGTCAAAGAAGGTAGATGGAATGAGGAAATCGCATATATTGGCCCTGCTGAACTGACTCAACCCGATTGCACCACTTAGAAACTACCAATTAAGGCCCAAGTATAAACCTTAACCGAGTGTCGTACAGGGCAAGTATGTTTAAATATCGACCCGGGCCGGTTCATGTACCCCTACTTCGATTGTTTGTAACATTATCTAGCTGTTGGTTTTGTGAAAACGAAGATCTAAAGCTAAAGTACTTGCAAAGAGAAATGGTTTTGACACTAATTGAGAAGGCTCCACCCGGGTGTTGCTCTCCCTAGATGGAAATTACGACTTGATGGATCCAATGGCCGTGTGTGCTGAGGGGGTTGTAAACCGTAGGAAAGTCTAACAAGTAGCCAAAGATACCTCTTATTCTCTAGGTCGAGGAAAGATGATACGATCCAAGCCACTAATGCGACTCTCTCAACCTATTGACTAAGGAATGGTTAGACTTCACCCTCGAATCGTAGTTAAGACGGCCACCCACAACCAAACCCTAGGTGCTAATATGAAATAAGAGGTTTGCTCTGCATTAACCTAGCTAGGAGACAATGAATTGCCTAAGAAAACCCAGCATTCAAGCCTCTTTCAATGAAAGAAGGGGGATTTTCTCTCTACCTAGGTTAGAATGGCAATTAGATAGATAGGCTTTCACACAACACAATCATTCATGAATAATACTTCCTCATTCACATTAAACACAACCACAACGCAAATCATTCAATTCATACAAGCATTCACATAATTGTTGCTAGGGTATACTAACACCCAAGTGAAAGAAGGAACTACTCCATGCTAGGAGAAGGGAAAACACAAGAGAGAAGAAGGAAAACCATCAAAGAGATGCTAGCCTTGCTCCTTATGTTGAAGAGATCTTCCTTTGGGGGGGAGGAATTCCCGATTCCTTGCTTGAAGATGAAACCCTAGCTTCTCCTCTTCTTTGGTTCGTCACTTTCTCACTCTATAAATCTAAAGAAGAGGAAAAAGAAGTTTCTCACTATAGGTCTCTCCCCCTTTTCCTTTGGCTCAACCTCCTTTATATACCCAGATCAGGCTCATTTCACGATCTTAGTTCACGGCCGTGAACTGAAAGCACAGACTGTGAACCAACGATGAAACGCGCCGCATCACTAAACTCTGTTCACGGAAGGAGGTCTGAGTTCACGGCCTTATGACTGTGAAATGGCTTGTGTCTAGTAAAACCCTTCTGTGCTCTGGATGTCTAGCATTTCGCGGAGAACGCCTCCAGTTCATGGTCTTAGTGATCGTGAACTCACCGCCTTAGTGACCGTGAACTCACAGCCCAAGCCGTGAACTACAGCTGTTTCCACCGTTTGACCTGATCTTTCGCCCTTTCGTCCAACTTTCGACTGCGGGGTTGGTTCCACTTGCCAAAGCCTAAAACATACCAAAAGAAGGCACAACCCGGCGTAAAACCAGACCTCTCAGAGTAAAAATGCTTCAAACGACTAAGTAAACCGGGGGTAAAAAGTGTACAAATGAGCCCGAATCACTCCCCCACACTTAGACCTTTTTTTGTTCCCAAGCAAACCATTTTGAACCTAGGTAATATCTCAACCTAACAAGATGACTTGGGGACAAATCAGAAGGCACAAAGCGGTGAA